CACACTTTGGGATTTGAGCAGGCAGGGATTTATATTGTCTGGTATTGGTACATAGTTTACCATAATCACAGTATATTATTGAAAGATTTTCCTACCAATTCACTGCCTTAAAAGCATTATATTATTTGCTCTGTGTGTGTGTGTGTGTGTGTGTGTTACTTTAAGTGTACTCTGGTTCCAGAGGTTCTTTGCGAGGCAAAAGAAACAAGATGCGAGAACGGAGAGCCTCTGGTCACATCAGGGCCGTATCACCAGGGGGCAGTAAGGCTTATATGTTGAAAAAAGTTCCAAATATCCAAAGAATAATTAATAATGACATTCTAAAAATTGTAAATATAGTTTTCTTTAGGAGGGCAGTTTCCCCCTCCTGCCGCCCCCTCCCCTGTGCTGTGTACAGCCCAGGGTCACTGTCCATTGCGAATGCGAATCCCACTTCCACACTTGATTAGGTTCAGCATTTGAATTTCGCATGTGATTGCCCATTTGTAAAAATATGCCAAACTGGCTTGGGAAATAAACATTGCTGTAAGCTAATTATAGCCTGTATTAAAATATTCTATTAAACTCAACCAAGAATGTATTACATGTCCTGCAAAACTGATTAATGTTGATATGTTTATCTCCTGAGAAATTTAATACCTCTTCACCTGCGGGAGTATTAATATTCATGCTTGGTTGAGTTTACTATAATAGCTTGGGGCTTTTTAATTGGGGCTTCGGTGGCCAAGTGGTTAGTGCACTTGCCTGTCACCTCTGAGGCCGCAGGTTCAAGTCAGTGAGAACTTTCTCAATGCGACTCAAACCCAGTCCTCATGTGAAAAGAATAAACCGCAACGCTCTGCCGAACGTCACAGGTTTTCCCCGGGTACTCCAGTTTCCTCCCACATGGAAAGTTGACAGGGAGGGTTGGGTAAAAAGGGCTCACAGTAATTGGCATATGCTGTTGTGGTGACCCGGCCCTATTTGGCATGCTAAATAGATAGATAGCTATAATTAGCTCACAGTAGTGTTTATTTCCCAAACAGGTTTGACATATTTTAAAAATGGCCAATCACATGCGAGATTCAAATTCTGAACCTATTCAAGTGTGGAAGTGGGATTTGCAATTGATATGATCAGAGGCTTTCCATTCTCACCTCTTGTTTCTTTTACCTTGCAAAGAACCAGGGTACACTTAAAAGTAACACACAGGCAGACCAAGTGCTGCAATTCAACTAAGGGCCTGTTTATATGCAGGAAGCCGGGCTGGCCTGCTTAGCGAGACAGGCAGGTGGGATGAATTTCTCTTGTGTTTATATGAGAAAATTTCATCCCGCTTGCTGGTTTTGACAGTTGTTAATTAAAAATAGCTTGCAGCGGTATCTTTCATCCCAGCAACTGGGCTAGCCCGCTTGTGAGTGTTTATATGGAGAAATTTCCACCCTGGTAAGCGAGATCTCACCTCTTTCAAGTGAGATCTCACCTCTTTTCAAGTGAGATCTCGGCAACCTGGCCAGCCCACTTGTCCATATAAACGCACAATAATTTTACTATAAAAATAACTACACAGCGAGATCTCGCTTACCGGCCTGTCTCACTTAGCGGGGCAGCCCGGCTTCCAAACAGGACCCAAGTACAAGTCAATATAAGTCCCTGCTTGCTTGAATCTAGGAAGTGTGGGGTTTACGGGGCAAAGCAGGGCCACTGAGACAAAGCCAGACATTTATACAATCCAGCAATTTTGATTATGCAGTGCTGGGAAATAAAAACTGCCTACTTCTGGGTTGGGGGAGGTGGTAATTTACATTGTCTGGTATTGTACACTGAATAGTTATGGGGTGCCATGGCTGCCAGTTCTGTTGTCTTTAAAACGACTGCTAATTCTAAACTGCAGTGATTCAAAACATTGTCCAAACATGTTCTGGAGATTATGAGTAATATTTTAACTTTGGCACACACTCATATTTTGGAACAATCACCAAGGACGCTGACTATAAATGTATCAAGATCTGTAAATATAAAATATAAATCTTACCTGCGATTTGCCTGCCTGCGAAAAGGTTAATCCACTTGGAACGTTCGAGGGAACGTTTTCCGTGGTTGTGGACCTGCGTTCCACATCGAATGCATCCTGCCCAACATCAGCGATTGCCCAGTTTGTGAAGCAACAACGTTAGCAAATGTTGAAGCTCTTGGAAGGTCTTCGAAAGACAGCAAATATTAACGCTGATTGCCCCGGCGACTTGCTTTGAAGAGGACGAAAGCGACCAAGAAAGTGAGGCAGCCGATGACGATTGACGACGAACCAGAAGACGAACAGAGCGAAACCCTCGTGAACAGTTTATTAGCAAAAATATTAAGCCCTTCGCGAAGGTCTTGCAAACAATCGCCATTTTGCCAACCGGATATGTACTTTTAATGTACAGTAATGAGTCATGCGATATTGTACCTGTCAGTCCTGGATCGTTGTGACGCATTTCCGATACGAAATGAGATCGATGAGATCAGATAGGTAATATTTAAAAACATGTCAGCTGTGGTGTGGGGAAAATAAGTTTAAACTGCCAAATCTACCAATTTTTTATGTGTGTGTAAAGATAGTGGAAGTGAGAGTCTGCTATTTTACGCGCGTCGAAACACTGTTATTCAAACATAAATATTTCGCGTTCTAGATCGAATTTTAAAAATCCCCCCGAGGAAATTAAAGAAGAAAGCATGCTTTATCAGAATTTGTCAGTTTTGGCGAAAAAAAATTAATATCGAATGTCACCGAGGGCGTAGAACAAGGTGTTATTTTCTCACTCCTTTTGTTTACATGTTTCGAATTTCAGGCATTCTGATTGGTCAAGAACGCAAAATGTAAACAAACGCGCTGATTGGCTAACATTATTTGCCCTTGTTGCCACTGATACATTTCGCCGAACATAACTTCGGCCGGCCTTCGGACGTAACTTCTTTGTAATTGTCTTGTTCCAATCGCTATCAAAAACACTACTTAGATTGTCATTTACGAGCCTGTATCTTCGGATCTGCACTTTTATCACGGTATCATATATCTATCAAGCAACAAATGTTGGATTGATATTTGTTGTTCATTCTTTAATTAAGACGATGCGATTACGGATTCCAGATAGATAAAGATTAAAGTGATTTTTCCATCACTCGATATATCGGTATCAATTACGAAAATAACAATAGTTTGTATATAAAATACGGCAACAGTAACTTCTAAAATTAGCACTAATTATTCTAATTCTTTACTCCTGTCAATCAAAAATTCAAAATCAACATTCTGACCAATCAGAATGCTCCGCCACCCAGCTGCCGAAGAACTCAGAATGTGTAGTTTTTGGGCAGGCGGTATTTCTAGCTTCCCGTTCTCTCGTGCGCGCGAATACCGCATGCTATGCAGGCTACACTAGCTAGTGCATCTTATTATTCTACAATTCAAAACTGAAGCCGTGATTGCAGACTCGGGATATTCGCATGAAATAAGAAGATTCGTATGTTTTCTATTTCTTAAACACGGACATTTTTAAACTATTCAAAAGATGAAAGTTATTGTTCTTTTTTAAACGTTTACAGTATTAGCGAGTGGGAAACACCAAATGGTCGCCATCTATTCAAATGGGGGTAACCGCTGGAATATTCTTGGCTTCAATTTTATTAAAAGAGATGCGCTATCTAGTCCATATAAGATATCTATGGCTACAACCCCTTACCATAACTCAACCAGCCTCGTTTCCAGGTCCAACTCAGACGCGCGGGTTCCGATGCAAGCAGTGGATGGCTCTGGAGCTTGGCAGAAATTGCAGAAAAAAGTGTCAGGATTTGAAAAATGAGAAAGAATCAAAAGTTGGTCGATAATTTTGATCAAACGTAAATCATTTATTCCCGAGCCGACGGCGCGAAGCGCCGTGCGAGGGTATTAATCCCCCCCGGCTATTTACACCCGGGGAAACGAAAGCATTAGCGAAGTCTAAAGTTCATCAAATATCGCGGGCGTGGCTCACCGACGATGTTCCGGTGGGTGGTCATCCACATTGATCATAAAAATATAGCGGACTGTCATGAATAGCTGACACTGATTGGTCCAATTTAAAGTTTGCATTATAACGACTGCATGACGACAGCGAAATAGTAAACATTTCTTGACTTGATGATTGATAAATATCTTGCAAATATAATAATAATAATAATAATAGTCTTTATTAAAATACTCGGATACATCCTTCTGAGTTTACAATCGAAAGGTAATTGATCTAGTTATATTTACAGTTGTAAGTTAAGAAGCGTAAAAAGTTTTAAAAAGTTTTTAATACATTAAAGTCTAAACAAAGTTATACAGACAACGATTTATGAATGACCTTTTGAATCTTTCTGTTCTCACTAGGGGGAGTTCATACTCATGCCCTCTAGGCCTAAGTAACCTACTTCTTTTTCGCTTAATTGAAGGGATAAGCTCGGGCAAAACTACAGAGGTGTGCACGTGTCTGCGAACAACCATTTCGTACGTTTTTTCCAAGTTTAAAGGCATTCTATTCTCTTCCGCCCAATCCTGTAAACAGGCAGCTTCAGATCGAGATGTGTCGCCACTTTCGTTGCCAGGCACTCGTAACGTCAAATCGTCAGCAAATTTGACTAACGCATTACTAAGATCAGCATGCGCAGTTTTAATATCATCAACCATTATTGAGAAAGGAACTGGGCCTAAAACACTACCTTGAGGGACACCACGATTAATATATAAATATTCTGTAACCATTCCATCAACCATTTCTCTTTGTATTCTATTTTCTAGAAAGCTAATTAACCAGTTCACCACATACGGATTAATGGGTAGCTTTTTAACTTTTTCAAACAAAAGATCGTGGGGCACACTGTCAAATGCTTTGCTGAAATCGAACGACAGCACTCTAACATAATTAGCGTTTTTATCCAGCCACTCTAGCCATTGATGTTGGGATTTAATCAGAGCCATAGTCGAGTTGTGACCCTTTTTATAAGCAAATTGGTCAGGACCAATGTTATTTCTTGTGATAGGTTCGATTTTAGATTTATACACGCACTTCTCGAATAGTCTCATGATGATGTCCGTCAGAGAGATTGGTCTTAACTGGTTGCACTAGTTTAATGGTGATTCTTTAGGGAGTGGTAATAAATTAGCGGATTTCCATTTCTGAGGTACTTTTCTGGTTTTCAGTGACATGTTAAAAATTTCTTTGACAATAGGAGCTAATTCAATAGCAAACGATTTCCAAAACCAATATGGCAGATTGTCCGGACCTGATGAAGAGCGTTTTTGATTGAGTAAAAGATGTTGAACTTCATGAATTGACAACGAAGGAATTCTTGTTCCTTCGGAGATTTGAAGAGGCTCGGGAGTCGTATAATTTGGGTCTGTATTAACACTTTGAAAATATTTATTAATTTCACTAGGGTTAAGAGAAGCACTTACAGATACATCATGTTTCTTTTTTCTCGATGTAATGCTATTTACGTTAGACCACCAACTTTTCGATCCAGTTTTCTGGTTGCCAAACTCCTGTTTGACTGCATTTAATTGATTTTCCCGAATTAACTTGTTGATTTTTTCTTGCAATCGTGTATTTGCTTCCGAGTATTTCCGTTTTGTATGGCTCTTTTCCTTTGATTCAGAAGGTGGTTCACAAGAGGAGACATGAACGGAGGGTCGCGTGATGACGTTCTGACCTTAATTAGTGGGAAGCTCTTATCGAATTTTGGCCATATTATTTCATAACATTTTAGGGTTATCTCATCTAGGTTATGGCTATTCATAATTATCGTGTTCCAATCAATAGATTCAAGTTCACGAAGCATATTCAATTGATGATGTTGTCTGACATCTCTGAAATAGGAATTTGTCCTTGTTGCTTTAACTATGTTTCGGTGGTATGTGATAACCATATCATGGTCGGATCTCACCAAGCTTTTTACAACTTTAACAGATTTCCAATAGTTTGGGACATTTGTAATAAAGACATCTAATATTTTTAACCCTCTCGTAGGGGTCTTAACGAGTTGGGTAAATGGAAGTTGATTAAGAACAGATCGAATGTTTAAATTGTTAATGTCACCAGCAATTATTATATTTGAATTCGGTTTAGATAACAATAGTTGTTCGCACGAGTCAATAAGGAATTCGATAAGGTCTTGCTCATTATACTCATAGTTAGGTGGGTGGTAAATAGTTGCAACAAAGAATTCAGAGTTTTGTGTAATAATTTTTGTCCATAAACATTCGAATGGATTATCCAAATCAGGTAGTAGCTGCATTCTCCAGTCATTCCTGCATAAGATCGCGACACCTCCCCCTCCACAGTTTGTTCTATCCTTTCTAATGATGGAAAAATTGGGAGGACAAACGCGGGAGATAGGTATAGTCTGTTTGAGCCATGTTTCGGTTATACAACAATCATCTATGTTATTGCACTTAATGTCTGCGCACAAAGCAGGAAAAGCATCATATTTTGCAATAGATCTGGCGTTCAACACTGAGCAACATGGAATTAAGCGTGGTTGACTCGGGGCAGTTTTATTTACTTGTATAGGTCTCAAAGTGCTGCAATGCCTAAGAGATTTTATATGACTGTGCTGTCTTGTGCGTGGAGTAATTCTGACGGGTATCTTATTTAGTTCGGTATCGGGTATCTTATGGCTACCATTGTTAAGGAAGCGACAAACAAACTTGGATGAATCGTAATCACCTGTCAACGCCTGGGCGGTTTGGTGTAATTCGTCATCAGGGGTGAAGGGTACTGATTTGGGTAACTCATTGGGGGCTGTATAGCTGGAGAATAGGGATTTGGATATTGTGACCATATAGGGGTTGGAATTTCCATTAAAGGATTCAATGGGTGGAGATTTCTCCAAGGTTCTCGGTAATAATAATTCTGGTACGGCGGAAATGGGTTGCTGAATCGGCGTGATAAAAAATCAGGAGAAGCATAATTGCCTGGATAGGGCATGGGGGATGAGTTACGTATCAATTTGTCGTGGGAAAAATCACACATCTCTTTCTTCAGACAGTACCCTCTTTTATGCAGAAAAGGACATGGTATATTGCACTTCCGCGTTTCAGATGGTTTTGGCTGTTTAAAGTCGCATCGGTCGCCTTTAAAACATCTACCACGGCGTATGAGAAAAGGGCACGGGACAGAGGGTTTTAGAGACGGATTGTATTTGGGTTTTTCCCTTTCGCTGTTAATTGACTGCTGCGATACCGATTTCAAGTTCGAATTAAAAGCCTTTGTGTGTATTATTTTTATTCTGCTTTTATGGGAAAAACACGGCATCATCATTTGTAAGGTCAATGTGATTATTCTTCAAATCGTCGGCATTGCATTGGCTGTTGTCATTATGCCGAATACGGCTATTGTCATGAGAGGTTTTTGGGGACAGATCATATCTAAGTTTATTCCCTTCTATGTTGGTTGACTGCTGCGATTCAGATTGCAAGTTCGAATTTATGTCTTTGTGTGTATTATTTTCATTCTGCTGTTTTGAGGAAAACACAGCATCATCATTTGCAAGGTCAATTTGATTATTATTCAAATCATCGGCATTGCATTGTCCGTTGTTATTATGCCGAGCAAGACTATTGTCATGAGAGGTATTATTTACATGGATATCATTTTTGCTCTCATTTTTGCAAGGTTTTGTAAATTTCAAAAGCTCTCCGAAGAAACTGCGAAAGAATCGGATAAAAGAAGGGAGCCGACGTTAACGAAGGTAAGTTTGTTTTAAAAATTGATTTTATAATGGCTTTAAACCCCGACGGCGGACGGCCTTTGTGTATACCAGTATGAAACAACTAAACAAGACAGCATATAATTTCATTGTATCTTTAATATTGATTCCCTTTTTTGTGATCAGTGAATTTTTAAATAAAAAAGAAAGCAAAGTTATTTCCAAGCGAGAATTTGAAATCATTTTATTGCAAACTAAAAGTTTATCGATAAAGCCATGCATTTTAAAAGGCACATTAGTTTTATATAGAACACTAGTGACTTTAAAACGTTTTGCGAAGCGTTTGTGGTTGAATTTTACCTTAAATTGAGGCTTATATTACGTATAATAACATACCTAACATATATATGTTGGGAAATCAATAATTTTGTAATTAAAAGTGATATTTTTAGGCGATTTTTCATTTGTAAGAATATTCTTAAAAAATTATCGTGTTACCATGGCAACTACCTTAGATACTTCATGTTCGCAAAATACAATGGTTTTGTTAGCAAAGCGAGGGTTTCTGCATGCATGTATTTTCTAGTATATGTTTGGGATCGCTGTAATTCGGCGACTCTAAATCTAGTCGATTCATTCTCATAGCTGCACTTGTTAAAAAGATAGAAGCAGATGAGTGTTTTATTTTTTATTTGTGCATGCCTAGTGGTATTTTTTGATTTCCTGCAATCTGATTGGCTGCAGCAGCGGGCAGCTTTTTACAATATCTTGACCGTGGTCCAAAAGAGTTATTTTTTAGCGAAAAACCGGGGAGTGAAGACAATTTCCAAACTTAAAACACTACCCAAAAAGTTTAAAAATCAATCCTATCGATAGGCCTACTAAAGACAGTAAAATACAGTTAATTGGCTTCAGTGGACTAAGTGCCAAGCCCGAAATGTACTTTTCTCCGACCAAAGTGCGAAAATAACAAATATAAACATCGAAACTGACACTGGTCAGTGCTACATGTTTTGATTAAAATGTTCTACATATATTCAGCTATTCTTCGAAACAATACGTATAAATATAAATAGTACAACGTACAACTTGTCCTTAAATATAAAATTTAAAAGAAACAACCGGCTTAAATGGCAGTTTAAAGACGATTCCTGGGCTAGCTTATTCGGGCAAAATTGTGTTTATAAATGTTGAAAAAACAAATTGCTTTTCGGCGACTAAAATTTGTATTTGTCTATCAAAAAGTGTATTTCAAGCATGTCCATGCTGCAAAACGAATCGGAAAATAAATATATTTTTACTTTATTTACCTTCTTTTTTCATATTAAGTAGAAAGCATCTATTCCAATGAAACTAAAAGCTTTTTATCCAGCTTTCATCGCGTCGTTTTAGCAGTTTGTTAGCCATGCTTGCACTAAAGTAACAAACGCGCAACTGATATATCTCAAATGTACTTCGCAACTGGAATTTTATCAGAATTTCATTATAACCATGAATTATCAAAATAATAAGAAAATAAACAGGTTATTTACCGTTTAGGTCAGTCCGTACTGAAAAATATTTTCCCATGTTATATATATATATATATATATATATATATATATATATATATATATATATATATATATATATATATATATATATATATATATATATATATATATATATATATATATATATATGTTTTCGTTTATTGTTGCAACTGATCTATTATATACAATTAAAAAAGATAAAAAAGTATACTGAATTTTCGGTCGCTAACTGCGACCTTCCTCAGAGTTAACTAATGTCAAGTTGATTTGAACAAGTTTTAAATACTTAGCGTATGCAAATTTACAAGGTATGCAACAAAGGCAAATAAGTTTGCGGGAAAATTTTACGCTCATTAACTGCCATTGTCTCCTTTGTTGAGTGTAATGACACGAGAAATATACGTTTATCATAATCATGTACGCCCCTCTCTAAAATTTCTACATCCCCAGAGCATACTTCGTGTCCAGTTCGTTCTGCATGTTCCTTTATAGCCGACTCGATCTGCGGTCTTGTTCCCGGTTTATGTTCAGCCCAACGGGATTTCCATGATCTTTTACTTTCTCCGATGTAAAGGAAATTACATGTTTTACATTTGAATTTGTAAACAATGCCTTTGACTTGAGTTTCTGATGGTCTGTCTTTCGGTTTTTTGAATATTCCGCCCAATGTTGTTAGTGACTTATACGCTGTTCTGATATTGGCACCAGTCAAGATTCGGTTGACTCTCTCAGAAACGCCTTTGACATATGGAATACATGCATAGCCTTTGGGTTCAGTAACAGAAGTTGGTTTGTTCGAACTTTCGGGTTTACTTGCAACACTGTTTATAAAAGCAGATGTGTA